TTATTTAATAAAAATATATAAACTCTAAGTCGAAGGTTTTGTATTCTAATATTGTAATAGGTGGAGATAATTTGAAAACATGGGGGTATCATGCCACACCGCACATCTATCAATGTGCCCAAGAAAACATAACTGAATTAGCTGGGAGTCTTTAGACTCACCAGTCAAACCTTTCAATCGTTATAGAATTCATTACATATTTGGCGTAGGCTGAAGATTCATCACATATCTGAAGCAGGCAATCCATAAAAATATTTTGGGATGTTCTCTCCAACAATTTTTTACGGTGAAACCTTATCCAGTAACGAAGATAGAGGATAGGTAGCTCTAATCCCGATTGTGCGTTTAGCATAGACAGCTTTTTATAGCATGAAGAAAACAAGCATGAAAAGATAATACCAATACTCACAAACCTCAAAATCCTTGATTTTAAGATCAAGACAAAAACTCGTAAAAGAAATTGGATGATGAATCACTTCATAAACATTAACATATACCAACATTGTAACCTCTGCACTGCATTAACTAAGTAGCAGCTAGCAGTAGCACTAACTTTAGGCACAAAAATGAAATGGAATTATCAATCACTGTGCCACGGAGGAACTGAAGAACCCTTTCATCAGCCCCATATCACCACCAACACTAACCCCGGATTGAATTACAGGTCTCTTCTCATTCTCAGCCTCCCCAAAACAGTATACAGGTGCCTGCCACTCCGCATCCTCAAGCACTGCTCCCACCTCAAATGTCATCACATGAGCCACCATTCCTGTAACACACAGAATTTCCCAATTCAAAATCATGGCTTCTGCTTTTCCACGTGAAAAAGAGTTAAGCTGTAAATGTCACTGGCGACCCCTAATCTTTCTTTGGGTGACAATTGAAGTGTCCCTGACCTGACCTTTATTTCTACGTTGGTTTTTTCATAATTAATCTGCGAATTTGCAATTTTAATTTCTTATTTGATTACATTTGATGATTGATTATATAAAAAAATAGTTCTCTCCTTTTCCCAAATCTATTCCTATCTAACTTAAATTTCGAGCTTGAGATTTCTAATTTAGAATCTTAAACTCTTATCCAATTAAGTCACATTATTTGGACACTTGATTACATAATACTCTTTATGGGTTAAGTACTCCCTTGAATGCATTCTTCATTTTGTTGATTTAAAAAATGAAAATTTTATTTGCCTTGACTTTCAGCTTCAAACTTTTCTAAAACTAGAAGTTAAAACTATAAATTTACATTTTTTTTTTAAGTAGTGGGTTTGCGGCTAAAGTTATGAGTTTGGTGAAATTTATCAATTTCTAAAATTATTTAGAATTTTTTAATACAATTTTATTATCCAAAACCTCTATCAAAGCTTCACTCCTTCAAGTCCAGCACGAAGTGGCCTACTGGCCATCGCCGTTGAGTGATAGTGTCCGGACATTCAAGTCGCGAGTTCTAACCCAAGCAGCTACCCCCTTCCCCCCAATTTTCCCAGTGTCAAAAAATGAAAAAAAGAACAACACTCCTTCAAAAGCTACTGCAATTATGCAAACAACAAATGTTTTGTGTAATTTCCAACTACAATAGACTGTATAAATAAAATTATCCATAAATGGAGAAGGCCCTCGAATGTAGGGTCGTCGTTCACCATGAATGACAGGCAAGACTGCAAAAAGCGTACTGTTATGCAAAACTTACTTTTTGAAAGCTAGGGACCCAATTGTTCCATACTGTTTTTGAATGCTGTTAGGGACCCAATTGTCACACTTGAAAGATCATGGACCGGGAATGACAATATCCAAATTCTAGAATGAGAACGTAGAACTGGAGAATGGTGATACCTGTGAAGAAGACCCAGTGAACAGGTCTCTTGGTTACCACATCCTCATAGTACCAAATGAAGTCCACCTTCTCCCAAACGTTGCAGAGGAACCCGTCGACGTGTTGTTGCCCGAGATAATTGGCCCCGTCGAGCCAATTTGGACGAAGAATTCCGACGGGAAAATGTACGGTCCGGCACTCTCGATTGGAGTCGAGGGTGTAGACGTAAGAGGTGCCGTTGTCCCATTCGAGATCGTAAGTGAGCTTGCCGAGCTGGTTCTGGATTATGTTGAAGTTGCGGCCGTTGTTCCAGTCGTACCAGAGGTCCACTTTCTGGAGGTTTCCTTTGCTGTTGTTCATGAAGAGGATTGAGTGGAATTGAGGAGGCCAGGGGACCGGAGACGGATCCGCCGATTTTGATGCGACGGCGGAGAGATGGAAAGTAGCGTATAATAGGGTAACGAAGATGGGTTTAACTTTGATTGAAGGGGCCATTATCCTCAATGATCGCACACCGGAGACACAGAAATGAAGAGGTGAGATTATCTTCTTTGTACGTAATTCACCGGCTAATTTTTAGTGGAGAATTTGTGTGGATAGTTCTTAGCCTTTAAATGATAGTTCAATTAAGTCCTCCACCTCTTAATTTTATTTTTTTCTTTTCTTTTTTGCACAGAACCTTTGACTTTAAATGACAATTAAAA